ATTTACTTGTTCTTAGCACTGGTTTGGATCCTACAAAGATTTATGTCATTCAAATTGATGACATTTGTAAACTAGCCTAAAAGTTTTATACTTTGGATTTCACATAGCAAGATCTAGTGCGCTTGAGAATTGAACTTCAACATTATGAGCATGATGGTAGCAATCATCATGAATTACAAATGTCATAAATATTCAAGAACTGTATCGAGGTTTGGCAAGAACAAGAAAGTCAACAATTTATCGACTTATTGATAAATTGATTAGGCTTGTGTTTATTCTTCCTGTATCAACAGCAATTACAAAACAAGCATTCTCGATCATAAAGATAATGAAGACAAAGCTTCGAAACAAGATGGAAAATCAACTCTTGAATGTTACCTTGATTGTGTACATAGAAAAAGAAATTGCAAAAAAAAATAGTACAAGCTCAATCATAGATGAGTTCAGTTCAAGGAAAGAACGTTGAGTGCAACTTATTTAGTCTAACTTTGTTTAGCAAGAATATAACTTTTGTGATATGAGAATTGTGATGCAATCTCTATTTTTTATCTAAGAGTGTATTCTTCATCTTTTGAGCATAAGTATCTTGTCACTTTTGGCTAATGTGAACCTAAATATGATCTCTATTGTTATGCGAATGGTTGCAAATACACATAAGCTATATATACATATATATTTTGTGTATTATATATTTTAGCATGTTCCTTTGTAGGTAATAATTACTCTAGAAGATTGTATACATTTTGGCATGTTTCTTTATGGGTAATAATTACTTTAGAAGATTGGAGCACATTGATTCAATGATTGATGGATATATGGAAATGCCTCAAGTATTCGTGAAGATTTTCTTGGGTTAAAACTTCTATCCTAGATTTCCTTTTGCCTCCTTATATATCAAATGCTTTTATAAATTGTCATTTTTATCTTTTTTTATTAATATCTAGTATGATTGTTGCAGTATCCCCCACTAAAAAAATCCTAGCTCCGTTAATGTTTGTAACCATTAACAAGCAAAAAACGTGGTGTGACAATGTTATATAGTGTTGCATTTTAAGCTTATTCATTTGACTTTTAAATTTGTTAAAGTTGAAAAGATTAGTGAATGCACTTGTACCGTAGGCTAATTCAGATGCAAATGGTTACTAGAATCAAGTGATTGAAAATTGGATTGGCATTACAATGTTGTGTACAAAGGATAAACCACTAGAAGAGGTTTTTTCAAAGAGCTTTCACCTTCATTGCTCTCAGATTATGCTTCATGTTCCTCATGTTGCATTGTGTCAAAAGCTTCTTCACAAATTTTCACTAGTGACTATCCTTAACATACACCACCATATGTCATCTCAATTTTAGTCACTTGATTCTGACAACCAACTGCATTTGTATTAGCCTACAAAACAAGTGCATTCACAAATCCTTTCAAGTTATGAATATACAAAAAATTTAGAAACCAAATGAATAATTCTAGGAAAAAATGGGAATGAGGTGGGAGCTACCAAGAGAAGGACAATTTGTAAAGCCTACCCTACTTTTCACATCAAAAGGCGTGGATCTCACAACTCTATCTTTTGATAGCTCATTTTGCTAGTAAACCACCACTCGTAACCACTAATCACATAATTCTAAGGTACAACATTACCACAATGTAATCACTCCACGCTTTTTGCTTGTTAACGGTTACAACTACCAACTTCCTCTCATCATCCCACAAAGCCATATTTCTATTTTATATATCAGCAACACTATTGTAATGATTCTTCTAGAGATCTTTAGTTTATTCTTCACATTAGCTCTGATCAAACTAAGTTGCAATGATGAATTCAATGTATTCATGGCAACTTATCACGCTCGAGGTTTTCAACTACCATCAACTTTCAAACCTTGATCTAATTGGCCATATAAAACATGAGCTAAACCAGAATCTATTTCACGATTCTAAAAAATGTATGATCTCGATTAAGATGCACCAATTTGTTGGTTCCCCTTCTTTCACATCCTAATATATACCAGTGTGAAAAATTCAACATTTAGTCTTAAATATGAGATACATTTTTACATATCAGAGAACAATGAAATTCAACAAAAGAGGTTCGCTTTCAAGTATTAGTAGATATAAACGGTAAAAGATAAACAAAAAACAAAAATTTTTCCATGATTCATAAACAATATTAGCTACACATAACCCGTGACTCACTCCTATCAAACCCATGTCTAAAAGTCATAGATAGCCGGTCATAGACCTTTTAATAGCCACTAAGACCTATTCATAGCAGACCTACATGTTCAAATCCAGCTACATGTTCATAGCAGACCTACATGTTCATAGCCAAGCACATCCAGCTAGCAAACCTACATGTTCAAATCTCGCAGGTCTTCATGTTCATAGCCTCATAGCCTACTATTTTGTCAAGTCTTGTCACAGCCCATTTTTTTTAAATTTCTCAAAGCATGGCCTACATTTTCAAGGCCTACTCCTATCACGTATACTACCCACCTGACCTACTCCTATCACATCGCTGCTTCTGATCGAAAGGGGGCAAGAGCCTAGCCTACATCTTCAAGGTCAAGGTTAATGTCGACGGATCCCACTACCGCTGCATCTGAGGCAAGGTGACTCGCCCTCTCGATAACAACGGGGTCATTCCGGCTAAGTTCAGAAATGATGCCAAAACTTCGACAAGTGATTCATCGGTCAACGCCACTAAGTGACGATCTCGCTCAAATTGGAGCCTCTTTCATCAACTCGGAACAGTCAAGTTCATTTTAATTTTTTTAACTTTATTTTATTTTAGTATAACTGTATATATACCAACCTTATACATATTTTAAATTGGATTTAGTTTTAGTTCTCTATCGAATGGCTAGTAAACTTATTCTATCAGAACTAGAAAAAATTAACAAATTTAATGGCAGTAATTATAACATGTGATATAGAAAAATAGGATATGAGGCTCTGAACATGTCGACTGACGGGATTTGAACATGTAGGTCTGCTAGCCAGATGTGCTTGGCTATGAACATGTAGGTATGCTATAAACATGAGGCTATGAACATGTAGGTCTGCTATGAATAGGTCTATGACCGGCTATGAATAGGTCTAGATGGCTATTAAAAGGTCTATGATCGGCTATCTATGACTTTTAGACATGGGTTTGATATGAGTGGGTCATGGGTTATGTGAATTCGGTTCTAGGCTTCACTTAAAAGCTTGAAAAAAATAGCAGAAAAAGTGCCTCAAATAGCAGACAATAGCGATGTGAAACGAAGAAGGAAAAAAATTTCTCTGATACCAGTCATTGGAAAAGAGAAGAATAGAAGGAACGACGAATTCTCTTTGGGGGGCTCCGATAATGGATAAGAGGGTATCAAGATGTTCGTGTCAAGAAATTATCAGCTAGTTTAGAGTGAATCATAATAATCAGGCCTTGCTTGATATTTCAAGCCTGAAAATCCAATTAATAATTTTAATTCAAAAGAAACACAAAGCAGAAAAAAGTAGGGGAAAAAAAGACGAGTCAAAAAACCTGAAAACTTAAACGGAAACTTAATTTACTAGACTAACCATAATCACTAAAATCTAAGAAGAGATGTGAAACTTACATGAAAACAATAAAATATCTAGCCCTCTCTAAACTGAAATTTTTAATTAGAATTCTTGTTCTAGCTTATTTTTCACTATTAACCACGCACTCTGTAGCCAACCTCAAACATTTGGGATAAAGGCTTTGCTGTTATTGTTGTTGTTGTAACTACCCACTCAATATTATTTAATGAACTCCAACTATAACCTCTTAACCACCACTCAATTACCCAAAATCAAAGTTGTGCATCCTTTACACAAATGAACTATCCCATGGCACATCAACTCATTTTAGTCGGTCGTCCCCACATTTTGAAACCGAATCTAAGGCCAGAATCTACCAATTAAGCACCACCTTGCAATTTGCTCGCTTTAAAGGTTGGGTGTTATCTCTTTCTTCTTCACTCTTTCTTTATTATTTACAAACTACATTAAGGCAAACGAGAATCCAACCCTATTTTGTGCATGTAGTAGTAGGTCACTGATTAGGTTTGTTAATATATTTTATTACTCTTACTTGCAAGCCCAGTACATTATTTTTCTATGGCAAGTCCAGTCCTATTTACATTTAATATCATGTGGTACCTAAGATATTAGACGTAAATAAGTGAAATCCCTATTCGGATCCAGCAAGAACATTAAAAAAAGAACAAAAATTCTAAGAATATAAATTCACTTCTAAGTTTGAATTCCTGATTTTTGAGATTTCTTAAAATTTGCATCTTTTGATTGGTAAGGATATTACACCGGTAATTCTCCAAGACATGCAAGATATACAACACAAGCACAACTTCTCACATATTCAGTCACTTCAACTTTAAGTTTCTGTGTACATTGCGATTAGCGAGGAACTACTTACCTAGTCCTTACATAAGTCAACATCTAATCATAGTTCTTTATCAACTTCGAGAAAATCTATAAATCGAAAGAAAGGTACACCAGTAGTAATTCTTCCTCTACTCATAAGCTAATTGTGTACCTCCTGCTAAATAGCATGGTACCAGAGCATTTGATTCAAAAATCCTCTTCATGGCCTTCTCATGCTTTGAAATGGTTGCCATGTATGATGGAAATTATGATGTCTCAATTAGAAGAAAGAAGCAGGACTAAGGATCAACTTATGATGCGTCCATCAGAAGAAAGAAGCAGGATTAAGGATCGAGAGTCTAGACAGTAAATATCTACTCCTCCCTCATTTAACAAAAAAGGTGGCTGATTTTTGGTAGTCGGTCCCATGTTTGATAGGAAAAGGCTTACATAATTATGATGATGATGACGATGATGATGATGTGGTGGTCCATGATAGAGCAGAACCGAAGAATGCATGAAATAATCTGAGCATTATATTAAGCTATACTTCGCTGTTTATATCAACCTAATTTACTAAAAAAGTTCCTCAAATAACTAGGACTGATCCTACCTCATGGCCACAGAAAACTCGAGTTGGCTTTGGCAACGAACCCAATGTCACGCACAGTGATTCATACATCTGTTCAGCAGTGCCTTCAAAGAACTTCCCACAACCAGCTATGAACTGCAAGTATGAATACACAAAATAATAAGTAATTAAAAGATAGTTGCTTTCGGTAGGGGAAAGAATAAGAATCTACTCACCAATGTGTCTCCAGTAAATACAGCTGGATCTTCTTTCTCGTTGCTCGTCAGAAAATAACTTATATGGCCTTTGGTGTGGCTGATGAATGCATCTCAACCAGATAAGGATCCATTTTAATTGATTATAACAGCAAATAGCAATTGATAAAATTAAGACACCAGTTTCTGCATTAATTCATCAGATGGCTTCATATAGAGTAGGATGGAAAATCATCATACAGATCGTATACTCGAAAGAATACAGATTCAAAAACCTTCACACTTATGTGTACATGCTCAAAATTGAAAGGCTGCAAGAGATGGATATGTAATAGTTATGGAAAGCATTATACAGCACATAGTAACTGTCTTCCATCGATGATGCAGAAAGCATATGACCATTAGTTGACTACTTATGGCATGTCCATTTGAATGTCTCTCCTTTTTCTTTTCATCTAATTTTGACTCCATCTATGGCACACTTATTATTTGAAATATTGCCTTTTCCTCCATCTAACCATTATTATCAATTGGAAGGACTAAGTTAGGAAAGAATTCCATACAAATAACTCTTGCCAAATAAAATCAATACTGCATCAAACAAGAGTCTCAGAAAATATTTATCGCTTTCAAGTTAAAGCTAGTGCTTCCAAAATTTTTAGCATGATTTACAGTATCTGTTATGCTACTTTCAAAGTTCCAAGATTTCCAACTACGTATTTCTTTTATATTCAAAACATAAAAATATAACCCTAACCCTCAAGTGTCATAATTTACAACTTTGTATAGTGGCAAGGCTTCGATATAGTATTTGGGTGCCTAAAATTTACAACTTCGTATAGTGGCAAGGCTTCAATATAGTATTCAGGTGCCTAAATTTAAATTAGATCTTAGATAAAAGACTCCTGCCGTTAGGTTGATATTCTGAGTCCCTGGAATCGTAATATGTTGAAATTACATTTCCAAATTCTTCAAGTCATTTGGAATTGGAGTGAATATTTCAAAAGCCTCAAATGATTAGTCTAACTTAAAGTAACACTTAAACTAAAAGCAATCCTAAAGATTTGGGAATTAATTCAAAAAATTGAGATTTGGGATTCTGAAGTTTAATACAAAGCCTTAAAAAAGGCTAATTTCCAGCCAGAGAAAAGGGGCTCTATGTGAGATTTGGGATCTGGAGTTTAATACAAAGCCTTAAAAAAAGGCTAATTTCCAGCCAGATAAAAGGGGCTAATTATATGAACTTCAAAGTTTTGTGCAACAGCAAGTGTCCTAAGATGGAATTCAATTATAGCATATCGACATTGATCTAATACCCAATTCTCTTTAGGAATTTCTAATTCAGTCCCATAAATAATTATTTATTAATTCAATCTCATTGGTTAACCACCCGAAAGGAAAACACGAAACAAGTAAGATGCAATGGGTAGAGCCTATTTAGAACAGTAAAGTTCAGCTTAATGGATATGAATTATTTTTTTCAAAACTATTGTTCTTTTATGAGTTTGTCTTGTTCTCAATTGATCTCTGGTCCCTCTATTTAGTTTTATTTAGATGAAGAAAGGGGTGTTTGAGGAGGTATTGTAGGCATGCAATGAAGATCTGAACCATGATATTTAATGAGATGGGGTGAGATTAGAATACCATGGTGTATGCAGAGCGAGGATCTTGATATCTGCCCCAAAACTAAGCCTATCCCCATTCTCCAACTTATTTGTGCATCCTTTAACATTATCTATTGAACCGCCATAGACCTTAATTTCTGGCACCAACTGCTTCAGCTTCTCATTTCCACCAGCATGATCCCTATAGAAATCCGTTACTTCAAAATTGAACAAATGCAAATTTTACATGCATAATTTAACTACAATCATAACATTCAATTGTTGTGTGTAATACCCACCCAAAGTTACTCAACCAAAAGCACAGTTAAAAGGAATATGAAGAGTTGAAATTTAGGATTCATAGAGAATCAGAGCTCCAAAAAATAATACCTAGAACTTGTAGAATCCAAACACATACATCTCATTTATGCTAAAGTTGTGCATGATGCAAAGAAAAGTTATCATAGAGGCAGAATCAAATATAAAAACGCTCCACAGAAGCACACGTATTCTTGGTGTTAGGATGCATAGATAACAGCAAACGGCTCGCATCACCATCTTAGATGGGTCGTCAATTGGCCAACTTTAAGCAACCTTTGCATTTCCTGTTGAGATTGCAAGTCTTCAAGTGGGCCCCCGTGGTCACCTATTCTATGGGTGTGTGCCGAAGTCTCAGAATGGACACAATTTTTATTGATGGTATAAGACCCGGACTACATAGCTTATATTAACTTTAAAAGAAGACTTGGAAACTATTCAGTTATTAGCAGTGATATCAACTTTGTGAATATGCACTTGCTTTATAGCGTGTAACGCCCTTGAAAAGCAAGGAAAGCAGTTAATCCATGAATCGCCAAAACGCGTTAAATTTTGAACAAAGTTTGAGATCCAGCACAAACCAGAGTGTGCTCTACTATTTGCAAGGAAAACAACAAACTTCGAAAAAGATGGTCCAAAATAGTTGCTTCCGCATGCACTCATCATGTACAGATAATGATAAGGAATCGAATCACCCACTAACACGGCCCTGTCCACTACGATAGGAGAAAACACCTCTGCGCTCGTTTAGTTGACAGTTTTCCTACTAGGCACTAGGCGAACAGTTTTCCTACTAGGCACTAGGCGAACTGGGACCGACACATTAAGCTCATCAATGACCACCAGCTTCTGTTAAATCTAAGGGGAAAGGAGAGTAAACAACTGCACAAGCTCAGATCCAACGAACAACCCAGCCCCTCATGTATATGATATAACGGCGCTCCTTTTCAACAAATGGAAGCCTTCCAAAATCTTATATAATTTGCAAATTTCCGTTCGAACATGAGAGGAGGCATACCCCCACATTGAACCAAATTATTTTCACAAAAGCCTAATTCCATCACTAAAGCATTTCGTAACCAGTTAGATCCAATAAGTTGGGAAAAGATCGAGGAATCAAAAGTGGGGGAAAGGGGGAGAGGACCAGTGGTGATGAGTGGTGAGAACGAGCTTGAGATCGGCCCCGATCTCGTTCGCCGCCGCGATGATCTTCGCCGGCTCCACGGGGTCCACCACCGCTGCTTCCCTCGTGCTCTCATCCACGATCCTTGAATCACAAAGGTAAACTTAGTAATAAAAAAGAATTTTGAAGGAATTTTTTTTAATGGAGATTAGGGTTTAGAGAGAGAGAGAGAGAGAGAGAGAGAGAGGAGAGGTCGAATCAGTACAAGTAGGCGTAGTTGTCTTCTAAGCAAGGGATGTGGACGATCTTCATCTTCTGCGCTCCCTCTCTCTCTCTCTCGCGATTCTTTTGGGTTTTCTTTGTTCTTCTGGCTGGTTCTTATGGTATCTATCAGTCATGTGCGCTTCGACCGCCCGGCGGCTGTGACACGTGCGCTTCACGTGTCCTGAGGGCGAAGCGGCCAGGCGCCGTCTTTTCTACGCGAGGCTGCTGCGAAGGCTTGACTGAACTTTGTGTAGGACCGACTACATTCGACCTTGGACCCTCCGGCCTCCACTTCTGCGCGGATAAACCCCAGAATCTGAGGATATGCTAGCGGACGTTGACTTAGATTTAAGGACAAATTTTCAAATCCATCCAATTTTGAGACATAATTATAAAAAACGATCTATTTGTAACTTAATTATCAAAATCGACCTAACTTAATTATCAAAATCGACCCAGTTTCAGCCAGTTGGCTGAAACTGGATCGATTTTGATAAAAAAAAGTTACGAAACTTCACGGGACTTGAAGTCAGATAAAGTTTAAACCATCGTTAAGCAAATTGTTATGGGTCATTTAAGTTCACGGGACTTGAAGTCCCGTGAACATTTTATGCAGGCCAAATTTCAAGTTCCTAATGCCCGCCATCAGCGGATCGACGTCCGGCGTCGCTCTCGCTTTGCCCAAGGACGAAGGGGTAGGGCTCACGTCGGAGGCGGGTCGGTGCGAGAGGCTGAGGGTGACTTTCCGACGGCGGAGGCCAGGCGGATGAGCGGGAGCCTGGGAAGAGCTCGCGAACTCGGGGTCAATCCGCCAACATTCGCGTCGTCGCCTGGGTGTTGAACTCGGTGATGCCCAAGACGAAGGGCCAAGGCTCACGTCGAAGGCGGGTCGATCGGAGCGGGAGAGCGACTTCGGCGGCAGAGGCCATGCGGATGAGCGGGGTGCCTGGGAGAGCTTGCGTAACTCGGGGTACCCGCCAAATTCGTCGTCGCCGTCGTCGCCTTGGGTGTTGAACTCGATGAAGGTGTAGGCGTCGCTGGCGGTGGTGTCAGGCTGAGATGCGGTCTCACAGAGGTTTGATTGGGAGTCCAATGCTAGGGCGATGAAATCTAATGCCTGTATAAAATGTTCATGGGACTTCAAGTCCCGTGAACTTAATTGCCCCATGACAATTTGCTTAACGATGGCTTAAACTTCACGGGATAATTAAGTTACAAATAGGTCGTTTTTTATAATTATGTTTCATAAAAGGTTGGTTTTGAAAATTTGTCCTAGGTTTAAACTCTAATGATCAGTAGGACCTGTCTAGCAAAATGCCTGGAACTGGATTAGGATCAATTCTGACCCAGTTTTATACTAAACTAGACTATATTTGGTCCATTGGATGTAGCTTGAAGGAAAAACACCCTGTCCGTTTTTTACTTAAAAACAACTGGGCTTAGATAAACACAAAAAGAATCAAAATGGGGTGAGGACGGACCATGACTCAGTTTTAAGGAATTGTCAAACACTCTTGTAAGTGTTGTCATAATTTTACCGTAACCTTAATCCTAACCAAAAACTTTACAGCACTGGCCTATGTTGCACATCTGGAGGTGCATATGGTGCGGATACAGCTTTGATGTGATGCTTAGCATATCCATATCCGCTTATTGATCACAAATACAGATATGGACATTCCTCAGTACAGTAATGATCCATATCTGCTTAAATCGGATACGTATATAGATATATATATGTAGATATACATGCGGATAAAAAATGAATATGAGAAAACCATGTAATATTGTGTGTGTGTGTGTGTGTGTGTGTGTGTGTGTGTGTGTGTGTATATATATATATATATATATATATATAGTTATTATGATGAAATGTATTCATTGTCTATAAAAAGTTAATATTAGATCACTTGATCATCAAAATTAGTTTTAGATCCATTAATCTAAGTATTAAAATAATTACAGTTATATGATCAACATGTATTTAGATATTTTGGATATGGCTCAGAATATTTCACTATATAACTATATCCTATAGTTATAGATTTTAGTAACCATGTGCATGTTCTAACGGATACGATTATAGATATTTTCACACATAATGGATACAATTGTGCACCCCTACGCATATAACATAGAGCTATCCCAAAATATTATTTTCATTTTATGCTCAACAGAAGCAATCTCTCTAAAGACCAGTTACGTATTGCAAGAGCTTATAATAAATTACATATACAAGAAGTTTATCTATCTAAGTTGCTAAAAATAGTTGTTTGCTAAAAAACAGAAAGCGGTTTCGTGAAATTGTGCTTAAAGATCATCATAATAAGGATGACACAAGTAGGGGTGAGCAATGGGCCGGGTCGGCCTACGAGCCCGCTTGCTCGGCTCTCTTTTGAGCTCGGCTCGACCCAGCGTAGCGATGAGTCCAGATTTGGTCCGCTAGCAATAGGGCGGGCCGCGAGATTGTGTTGGGCTGGGCCTCTAGTAACGCCAAGCCTAGCGAGCAAGCTGGGCCTAATTGTAAACGGGTCGACCTGTTTAACCCAACCCATTGTTGGTCGCATACCCTAAAAGAGATTATCAATTAGGGTAAGTTATACTATATTCCCATGAACTTCTAGTTGCATTTAAACCCCTATGTACTTCAAATTCACACTAAATCCCTAATAACTTTTGTAGAAAACCCATAACATATTTTGATTAAATTACACTATACCCCCAATAATTCTCAAAATAGATTTTAATTTTTTTTTTTTGGGGGGGGGGGGTGGTTCTAATTCATGGGGGTTATCTACAAAACTCGAAAAGTTATTAGGGGTTTTCTACAATTCTAAAAAGTTATTGAGGATTTAGTGTGACTTTGAACGTTCATGGGGTTTTGATGCAAAAAACTTAAACTTCATGGGGTTTAATGTAATTTACCCCCAATTACCTTTATAGCATTTTCAATTGATTTTATTTATTAAATAATAAAGAAAATTCATAAATTCTCAATTTTACACTTAATTATAAATTTATAATACATGTATTGCTAGAGTAGCAAGACAATATTTTTGTAAAATCTATTCGAACAATGCACAACATTTATTCAAAAATTTTAAACCTACATTTTATGATATATTTACTTTATTATATCTTTGTCATTTCTTATCTATTATTTGATGAAGTTATTGTTCATGAGGATAGTTTATTTAAAAACAATCATTATAAACTTTCTAAAAATTATTTCTTATCTACATTTAGAAACTTATTATTTCAGGAAGTTATTTTTATAACCAAATCAATTTTTTTGCCCTTTAATCTCACACAAAAAACAACCCCCAATCCCTAATTATAGAGGCTAAGGGGCTGTTTGGTTCATTTTCATAAAATTATGGAAATAGATTCCCTAAAAAAAACCAAATTCAAAAAATTTTTAGGATATCGAAGGAATCCAAAACTTGTGTTTGATTTGGAATGATAAAGCAAAGAATATCCAAAACTCATGTTTGCTTCATTTCCAAAGAATAAGAAAAGAACCATCATAGAGAGAGAGGAAAAGCTGAGCTGTCAAATACGTCAACTTTGTAGCCCATTTCCAAGCTAAAATATAGGATTTGTGCTGTCCAAAAAAAGGCATTGTTTTCTCTCTTTTTAAGAAACATTTTCTTAAAAAATTTTGAAACAAACCCAACTTTTGGAATCCTATAATGGTCCAAAACCTACTTTTTGTTCCAAAAATATTGGTTTCCTAAAATTTTGGCCCAAACAAACAGCCCCTAAGCCACTTAGCCTCTTAGCCCTGTCTGTTTGAGGGAGATTCCCAAGAGGGAATTCCCCTCAAAACCACAAAAGCCAGTTTTTGTGGCTTTTGGGGGAGATTCTCTCTTGGGAATGTCTCCTAACAGGAGACTTGATGGTGGAAAGGGATTTTTTCCTATTCTTCCATGTTATTTGTATAAAAAGAAGTCTTTAATGAAAAAAATAAAATGTAAAAGAAATTTTCTTGCTTTGTGTGCAATCTAACTTTTATATACCGTCGAGATTCGTGCATATTAAATCCCTGGACCCCAAATTTGACTGTTTCTCTATAAATGCAATCTAAATCCTGTTAGGTTTCATGTTTATGAGCTTACTATCTAATCTAGTTTTGATAGTTAACAAACAATTTCTAATATTGTTTGTCGAGTGTTTGTATTTGCTTGTTAACTATTCTATACAAAGATCCTCCAGTTAGCACTTGGATGGAATTAAACTTAACGACGACATCCTTTGGGGGTTGGAGGAAACCGGAATGAAGTCATTTGCATTTCAAATCAAAGAACACTATTGTGTTTCATCCCGCTACTAAGATCAAGCTCAAACGAAGAATTCTTATATTGGGTATAGTGTTTGTAGTTTAGGAATTTACTTTATGTGTTATACTTAAAAGCTCAAATATTATACACATCCATATTTTCATTTTATAGATTTCAAGTTTAATCAAGTAAATATGAAACAAATAGATATATTTATATACATATACATCCGTTTCATATTTATCATCTTTGTTTTGGAAAATAATGTGTTTATGGATTAAAAACTTGATTACACTATTTTATATCTTTGCACAAGTTTATTACTCTATTAAAAAGTGTTTCAAAACTTGTTTGGATTGATTTCATCAAAATTAAGTTTTGATGATTTCGTATCCTTGAGATTTTGTAAAACAGATGAATTTTTACAAATGAGAAATGATATTTCCAAAATTTCTTCTTTACCATGTTTATTTTTATGTATATAAATATTTCTCCAGGTTTTACTATTTTTAGAGTTGATTTGTTATTTTCTATTTGAAATTACCCTAGAGGAGGGTGAATAGGGTAATGCGACAATAAATGTGCAATTAAAAATAGTCAATGTAACACACCAACCAAATTAAATGCAAAGGCAATAAATTAAGAAAGATTTTAGAGAATAGTTAGCCAATGGTGACATGCGATATGTTCACGAGTTTCAGTCCTCCCACCTACGTCCCCGACCACCTCTCCCTGACGGTAACTTCACTATCACACCCGGTTTGGAAGCCGGAACTTCTTCACAATGATCTCCTCTTGAGATCTTACAATCCACACAAGTGATCTCCTTGATATTAATCTCACTACACAATCACAATGAAAAGGGAAAAACTCTCATAACAATTCTATGACAAGGATCAAGTGAAGAACAAGTAAAGCTCAAGGGTTGTGGAGTATGGATGTGAGAAAAACAAAGGCTTAAGCACAATTGAGGATTAAGAATTGAAAGTTTTGAGCTCAAGAACACTTAGAAAACCAAACTTAAGAT